TAAAATCATATAATATAATATAATATAATATAATATAATATAATATAATATAATATAATATAATATAATATAATATAATATAATATATAAATAATATCATATCATAATAATAAATAATATTGCATAATTCCTGTACTTTGTTTAAAACTGTAAGATCAAGGTAGGAACATTGCAAATAAATGTTATTTAACTTCCTCTTATATATTATGAAAAAAATTGCACGCTTCGAGAAAGATTTAAATTGTTAAAGATTACGATAATATACATTTATAAGATTTATTATACGAAACGCATTCCTTGTCGCGTGGATCCCATGATAACGATGACAACTCGTACATAGAAAGACAACACAAAACACATGATACAAACTAATTATGAACTATTCAATCCACAGATAAGATACTCTAACATTCACAAACGCAAGTGAATCCGTCATATCGTACGTATTTTTTCGAACATAGCATGCCGTCTCGAATGTTCATTAACTCTGCTAAATCTATCCATCATAAATCCTCGCTATACTCTCGGTCATAAAACGATCACAAATTCTCTTACGAATCCCGAAATTATAGCGTACTTTTGCAGTCGACTGCGCTCGAATCGAACGTTAACTTACAATCGTGAAAGAGAGCTGCTCTAATTGAACGGAATTAGTGTTCTCATCGAATCGAATTCAGCTGTATTTTATTCTCCTCGAAGCTGCTGAAGTGTCCACCGAAACGAGACCACCACCGGTGGTCAAAGAGAGATCCTCCTCTCTACCAAATAGGAGATCTCTCTAGTCTCGGTTTCGGTCTAAGTTTTTAGACGTTCCGATGTAGGACCACGGATGACAAAGGCGAGCGCATGGTTTCAGGGAAACGCTCTTCAAGGGATGATGCAGGGTTTAGGTAGATTCTGTTTTGAGGAAAAACATTAAACCGGAGATTAGTACGCTAGATTTGGGCCAGCGGAATTATTTGCAACCGTTGCATCCAGTTATTTCAGCGGCGAACACAAATTCAACTAGTACTTTGCAGAGTTTGAAAATGGATGGACCAGGACGAGGTTAAAGCAGATTAGCAGGACAGATTTGCTCGCGGATGGGACTAAGTAAATCGACGGCAGAATGTAGCCACCGGTCACACAGGAATTTCTTAATTTTTTTTCCGGGCGAATTTATCTACTTCAAAGAATTCTACCAAGAAATCCTTCCGAGCGGACGCTGAACTGTATATCGAATCTTAGACCGGACTAAAACGAATGAAGCACGACCAACGCGCGTTCAAGCTTTCTAGAGAAAGACGACTCTACTGTGAGAAATAATTTCCACTGGCAAAGAAGGTTTCTTCCCGGAAAGAAGGTTCACGTTCATGCATTTACGCACATTGTCCGAAAAGAACAGTATAATTGCTCTAATTTTCCAGATTTCTGCGGTGTAAAACATCGGTTAGATTTTAACAAGCTTTTTATTTTTATCAAGGGGGTATATTCCGGTGGTGAATGGCATTTTTCGAATAATTTCCAGGAATTTCTTTCGAGATAACTGTTGTATTAAACTCTTTGCATTATGTTTTGCCAGTGAAAATAATTGAGATTAGGAGAGTTACAGTCTGATTTATTGCGGGTTCA